ATTCACCCCCCCTCTAGCGTTGGTCTATTATTCTAACAAAGGGTACCGGATCCGTTGGCAGCACTGTAGAAAATTGCCAATTTAAATTCAAATCACCCCTAATCACTTCCTAACGGCATTTAACGTCAAAAACTCAAATTTTAACATTCCAAACTCCTATATAAACCCCCTTTAAGCCTCATTTTAAAGAGAACAACTTCCCGATTAATTCTAAATCCTCTTTCTCTATTCTTGAGTGTTCTTAAAGCCTTGTTCTTATTTTTCTTACACTTTTGAGTAAAAAGCTTTCATCTTTTTATACACTCACACACAAGGGCATTTGTGCTTCATTATTTTATATCTTGCCTATAGGCTTTTGTTGTTGTTGATTTAATCTTTTGTTCTTCTCCTACCCAACTTACATTTGTTATCATTTTGGTAGAGAAGCAACACCAATATTTTTATTGATTTGTAAAAAGGTGTGGATAGCCTCTAAATCCTCATTGTAAGGTTGAAGATAGCCTTAAAATCTTCGGTTGTAAACGGTTGAGATAGCCGTAGTAAAATCTCATTTGCTTATTGGCAAGGGTTGTTTGCCAAACCTCGTTTGAGTCTTCTTAGTGAAGCCAAACAAGTTAGTGGAGGTTAAATCCTTGAGGAGGAGCCTCGAGGTACTGGAGTAGGGAGTTCCCGAACCAGTATAAAATCGCCAGTGTCGTATTTTTTATCCTTTATATCCTTCTTGCTCTTTTTCCGCTACTACTTTGCGCATAAGTTTTTGTTTTCTACGAAAAATTTGCAAACACCCTAATTCACCCCCCTCTTAGGGTGTAAACCGACTTTCAACAAGAAGAGCAAATACATGAAGTCCAAGAAGAACTGTAACACCCCAAAACATACCCTAGAATTATTAATAAATAAATCTCGTAGAGATAAATCCAATATATTGACTATTTGTGTGGTCTTGATTGGAAACCTGAGTACAGACCCAAATCAAGAATAAATGAAGAAATTATTTATAATATGAACTTTAAAATGATTTATTGAAATAAATCATGAGAACAAATGATATGAATTAAATGTGAGAACCTTTTTGAATAAAGGTCAAATAAACTAATTTTGACTCTTTCAAAGTCAAACACTCAAAAAAATATGATGTCGGAAAAAGTATTTCAAATAAATATAAAAATTATATAGTTGGATAGAATTCGACTGTCTGATCACAAAGATGCAAACAGATTTCAATTTGGAGAAAGTTGGACCAAAAAGTGTACCCCGAATGGAACCAAAATTGGTCCCAATCAGGGACACTGTAGAGACTGCGCCTCCTCCTCCACTACAAGGATACGCCGATTAGAATGATACAACAGGCTTGGAAGTTTTCCCCATCTCCTTCCTATATAAGACTACCAAAGCTTAACCGTTTCTTCACCATTTCTCAAAATATTTCGTCCTATTCTGTTGCTCTGAGTGAGGAGAACGCAGTGGTGTTGTCAATTTGGTGTGAAGTCGTCGGAGTTAAGAGATATCATCGCCGGAACTTTCGCTGGAAACTTTCCAAAAACTCCATTGAGCTTCGAGGTAAGCCCGTAGATATATCTAATGACTAGAATGTTCATATAGATCGATTTTACATTCATAAACGTTCATTTGGTTGAGTTTTGTGTTTGACATGTTTGAAGAACTAAGAATCGTAAACCATGATTTTGATGTTAAAACTATGAATTAATGATGCCAAAATGATCTATGAACCTTGGAGAACACTTTTATATACTTTAATTGAAGTTTGGTAAGTAAAAGTGACATTTCCGCAAGTTGGCTCGAGGTAGAAGACAATGGATAATCGATTATCAACTTGAAAATCGATTATTCATCGTTCTGCAGATTTTTGGAACAAAGCTGAGCAACAGTCGATTGTCAGAATGTGACAATCGACTGTCAGCCCTCTCTGAAGTTTGATAATCAATTATCAGAGTGTGATAATCGATTATCAGCCCATTCTGAACATCAGACAGTAGATTATCAGAAGTGACAGTAGACTGTCTCCCTACACTATTGAAGAAAATGAAACTAATAGTTAATAGTTGAATTTCCTATCATATATTAATCAATTATTGTTTAGAAAACATGATTTTTGAACTATGGAATCCTATTTTTGATACCAATCAATTATGATTAATATAAAGATGATTTCTTGGAATAAAAATGATGTTTTGAGGACCATATGTGATGCATGACGGTAAGCTAGGGTGTTAACACTCGATGCTAGGCCGCTATTTGTTATTAGATATTATGATGATGGTTTGATTCATTTGATGATTTAATGATGACGAATATTCTAAATGATAATCATGAATTGTTAAATTAAGAATAATGGATTAATGAATAGTATTGCTAAGGCTACTTAGAAGACCTCTAAGATAGACCTTTAAAAAGTTTTAAATTTTACGATTACCAAGTTAATATTTTAGTCCGAAAAGGGCTGCAGACCTGGACGGATTAGTGTGTTACATTTTGGTATCGGAGGAAATGGTTTTAAATCCGATCTTCGGATCGAAATTTGATTTTAAAAATAAAATAAAATAAAATAAAAAGTCAATCACATCCACGACTCTCGCATCCCACTGCTCCAGGAAAGGTATGAGAATTTACTTGGTAAATATTGACTGTGTTAATTTCTCACTTGATAACAATTGTTAGTAATGAAATTATATCGAGCATAGACTCAAGTCGAATTTTCGTATTCGGTGAAGAAACGAAAGAATAAAAAAAATGTATAAACCTCTGATACATTATCAACGTACGCATCACATTGTGAATGACAAAGTTGATCTGTACCGGAAAAGTCGAACGGAAGTGAGATGAACCTGAAGAATGATTCGTGTTGATATATGTTGAACAACATTTGTGAAGCCGGTGTCAAAGATCCTCATGTGGACTTAACGCGAACCAATCGTTGACGCAAACGAAAACGTTTAGAATTAATAAACCCTATTCTTTCTTCCAATCTCTCTTGATTGTTTTCAATCGTCGCAACTGTTATATACCCTCGTGATATCTGTTATCAACGCACCTACACAAATAAGGAACCCTAATAAAGAAATTCCTACTATTTGTAGAATGAGTCAAGAAACCGCGCGCGGACAGGATAACCAAGTGCAAAACACTGGACACGCAACGGTTCATATTGAAATATCGAATTTCACTCTTGTTGTCCGAAAAGAACCAGTCAATCAAAACATCCTTCA